ACCGCCAGGCTGCCCGCCACCCCGTGCCGCTGAGCCAGCTGCCTGCTCGCCCGCTGCCGGAGAGCCGCTTCCCCTCCTCCTCCTCTGCCGCCGCCCACCTGGCCGCTTCCCCTCCTCCTCACCCTCCTCATCGCCAGCCATGAACTTCCAGGGCGGGCCTGGGCAGAGCCCCGAGCAGCCGCTGCCGCAGCAGAGCTGTCCACTCTATAGTTTGAGTGGAAATGTTGGGGGGTCATCTTATACACCCAGTCGTCTTGAATGCCGACAAATATGGTATTTATTCCCTCCATTTATGTTCCATACAGGGGCACCCGGTGTCAGAGAAGCACACATTTGTTTGACACACATCCTCTTTCAAAGCTTGTGCACAACTTCCAAACATCCACATGAGCTACTCCCATTTAAATAGTGCTCTGTCTTTATTATATATAGATATAGATATATAGAGATAGAGATAGAGATATTGTTAGTGAAGCTATATGGGCGACTCCAACATGAAGTGTGTTCATGACATAATATTCATTACCACACTCTGTTTTTCTCCAGAAAAGTAAAATATATGGGTCTAATATCAAAGTAAGTGATCACAGCAGGGCCAATGGACATTTTTTGGATCTGCTAGAACCCCAGGGGCTGCACTCTTAGGTAATGGATGGCCAAAGAGCTTATTAGTGTATTTTATAAAAAAAAATGCAGTGTTTATGTACTGTAAATGTTACTACCCATTGTTAAAGATGTGTTTACCTAAAAAATAATTGGAAAATTAATTTTTGCATCTTCTAGTGGTCAAAGATATATTTCAACAAATTAAAAAATGTGGGTGTATGTGGCACCTGTTGTGCTGGGGCCCCTTAAAAACATGGCCCCAGGCAACACGTACAGAAGACACACACTTGCTTGGGCAGGTTCAAGCAGAGTCAATTCACTGAATAATGACAACTTGTTAATTCAACATTTACGCAATCAAGATTTATGTAATCCCATGGGTCTACTTTAGTTGGGACTCACAGCTGGATTTTACCCATAGTGTTTTATGAGTGTTTGTTGTGGCATTATAGATTTATTTATAATCTGCCTGCATCATTAGTCTCTACAGAAGAGGTGTCCTCCACCTCGTATCCAGGACTGAACATAACAAAGGCATCAAAAAACTGAAAACAGCATATAATGATCTAACATAATAAGCATACCACCAAATATAAATGTCATGGCAACAGATTCAGCAAAAAGTAAACAAATAAACCTCTTTTTTATGTTAGAAGTTTGTAACATGCCAGGAAAGGATTAGTATTAGGGGAAAGGTAGTTATTGATGACAGCACTGATGCTACTTATGACTCAAAGATATCAGCAGATCAGGCTCATTCAGCGGTCTTTAAACTACCAGCATGGTCCTGTAGTTCAATGTCCCATACCCTTAACTTCACTGCTTTAATGGCATCCGTAAAACCCATTGCTATAAGTATACTGGGAGAAAAGTTCCTAGTTTTCCTGTGACCATAGGCTTGGAAGGACCTGGGCTGAGAGTTAATAGATTAGTTGTTGTAGGTTTTTTGGGTTCTTTGGCCATGTTCTGGAGGTTTTTCTTCCTAACATTTCGCCAGTCTCTGTGGCTGTCCTCTGAAGATGCCGGCCACAGAGACTGGTGAAACTTTAGGGAAAAAATCCTCCAGAACATTGCCGAACAGCCCGAAAAACCTGCAACAACCATTGGATCCCAGCCATGAAAGCTTTCAAGTACAGTTAGTAGATTCTTTATTTGCATTAGTCTTATGACTTTGTGGATAGTACATAAAACATTACCATAATGTAAGACCAACATAATGATGGTGGGCTTTGAGTTGGAACAATTGCGAAAAGTCCAGTCTGTCCAGTGTCTTCTCGACTTTACAGACATATCAGATACTTCCTTAGTGAAGAAAAGGGGGAGGCAAGGCTCTTCCTCTGCCTGCCACAGAACAGGCTGAGGGGAAACTATTCACAGAACTTTGAACTATATACTTTTTTAAAAGACAGAGGTATTGAACCTGCAATAAATATCACAATCCTGTTGGAATAAGTTTACTTATATAAATAAGTTTTTCAATTTAACACTGCACAGTGAGAACTTCATTTGGATTTAATTTACTTGCTACATATATGTAAAATGCTATATAGAGAATATATGAAAAGAAACTGAAAACATCTCAAGAACAGATCATTTATGAAAAATACAACTTGCAAAGACTATTTCTTCATCAATCATGTCTTAGCTCAAATACCAGTGGTTCATTTTGAATTACTAATTTATTTCAGAATAAGCTTCATTCTTTTATGAAAAACTATATCACTTCACCTGCCTCTCCTGAACTAGACTGCTGTCATCAGTCATGATGGAGGATCCTATCCCACTGCCAGCATTGAAGTAAGGTTAAATTGTCAGACTAGTGAGCTTCTCTGCACGTGGACTACCATCTTGCCCTTTGCCATTGGCAACTGAACGCCATGGGTTGGATTGAGCCCATGTTGTGGGACCTTCAACCCAAGGTCGAGCCCTGACTACTCCACTGTTAAATCTATTCCCATACTTTGAAATTATACACAAGCCTAATTAATATGAAATAGCCAACACATTTTACATGCATACATCCAGAAAGATAGGTTAGACATCCATGCATTCGAAAGACAGATTCTGCATACACAAACTGATTTGGGAATAAGAATTCGTTCATGTTCTAACTAATATCTAACTACCCATCTAGAGTACATTCAAAGTAGAATACATGTACAGGAAAAGGGAACTCTGATCTATCAGTGGTATACTTGCTGAGAATACACGTGGAAGAATATAACCAAGTGTTCAAAAGTAGCTGTGCTTGCATAAATTTCAAGATTAAGTATTTATATGATTCAGAACAGTTATCCCATTGGAAAAGTTCTACATGCTTTTAACATTATACATTGTTTCATTTCTATTTATTAATGAAAAGGAGAAAATTATAAAACAAAAGAAATATCTGAACCAAGAGATTGTGATATAGATCTACAGTGATACAGATTACCATATTTTTGCTCCATAAGACGCACCTGACCATAAGACGCACCTAATTTAAAATACCTAAATAAATAAATAAATAAACAAACAAATAAATAAATAAATTTGTGTGCGTCTTATGGAGCGAATACTGCCCCCCCGCCACCATCGCTGTGTTCTGAGGCCTCTGGAGCCTCAGAAGGCACTACAAGGGTCCCCCCCGCTGCCATTGCTGCCTTCCCAGGCCTCCGGAGGCCTCGGAAGGCAGCGATGGTGGCAGGGGGGACCCCCTCGGTGCCTTCTGAGGCCTCCAGAGCCCTCGGAAGGCAGCAGTGGTGGTGGTGGGGATCCCTGCAGTGCCTTCTGAGGCCTCCGGAGGCCTCGGAAGGCAGCAATGGTGGTGATGGGGACTCCTGCAGTGCCTTCTGAGGCCTCTGGAGGCCTCGGAAGGCAGCAATGGTGGCGGGGGGACAGTATTTGCTCCATAAGACACACACACTCCCCCCCTTTTTTGGGGAAAATGCATCTTATGGAGCGAAAAATATGGTAAATGGAATCCTATCTAATGTAGCTCCAGCTTGCAGCACTCAGCCCAGGAGACCGTGTATGCCATATCTTCTGCACAAGTGGTTCTGGGCTGGAAGACTGCATTGGATTCTTTACTTGTGCTAATTCTACAAATCAGTATAACAGATCCTTCCATTAGTGCAAATGATACTACTGGGATTCAGCTCTGCAGCTATGATCTGGCTGTTGACACTGGTATTGCACAGTCCGCACACCAAGCAACAGATATCAATCTGGAACTCATATGAGATGGAGGTACAGGATAAGAACTAAATGCTCCAATTTTAAATGCTGGAGAACTAGGGGAGGCAGGAAAAGTGCAAGAAAACCATTTCAAATATCAGATGCATTGCAATTTCCTGTGAAAAAGTGGTAAGAATATACAATAAATTACTGTCATGGTTCATAGTAATTTAGAACCAGTTCTAGAATTAAAAAACTCGTACAATTAGTTACAAGGTGATTCAGGCCTCTTTGGACACCAAGACTGTTCAGCGTGATGGGAAGATGCTATCTTGGAAATCTGGACGAAAACCCAGAATTAAAATTATCTATATATACACAATGGCTAAAATCCTGTTGCTCAGCACAGTAAACTGCAACTAGAGTAGGCTTACCAAATCAATATAGATTTCACAAGTCAATTTGTCTGTAAGTTCCAGTGATTTAATAGGCCTACTGTAGTTGTAACCTACTACCTTACGCAATAGAATTTCAGCTAGTATGGACTCGTCAGGAATGCTGATAAGCCTCTTCAATTAAAAAGATACAGATACTGTAAATTTGATAGCAAAATTGTTCCTATGAAACATAGAAAACATATGCTTCAAGTTAACTTTCTGAGTTATCAATAATAATTAATTATTCTGGAATGGAAATCCTTTCTCATTAATCCTGACTCTACAGATACATCTGGCTGGCTTTATAGTGCCACTGCATTAAAACAGCAGAATAATCAATGGAAGACCTGGTTATGTAAAACATTATGCAGGCAAACTTACAAAATTCATTGTGTAATTCTGATAAATTACACATTTATTAAAATGTTAATTGCATGTATACAACTAAGAGCTAACGGAACTATAAAAACTGATGTCAACAGTATGTGTATTACCAATCATTGCAGGTGGGTAAACTGGCAACATGTAACTGCATATTAAGACAAATGTAGAATTTAGACAAAGTATTCCATCTCTTTTCAGATGTATACTTTTAAACCTCAGGAACTGTTTTCAGTAGATGTCATGCCTTTTAACTTGAAAAAAGATAAGCGCAAATAAGCTCCCAATTGTCTCCCCAATATGTAAACCACATCTCGGGCTGCTGTCTCTGCTTCGCCTTTGAAGTTTCCCTGAAATGTCATGTGTTGTGAAGACTGCTGTGCATAAGCAAGACAATTTGCTCACTCTCAGAATTCTTACCAGTTTCCACTGCTATTTGGTATCCAGCCTCTAGTCTCCGAGATGACCTTTCCAGCCTCTCTGTGTTATCGAGCAGATGTGCCCTCTGAAAAAGAAAACGGGAAAGAAAAATCAGCCGTCCATCTATGACTCCCCCCTCCCTATACACACACTACCTTGTCTTAATTCTTTACTTAAAAAAAACACACACAGGAAACCTAATGGAAAGCACTGCTGGGAAGGAGATGGATAAGCATTCATAATTATTTATGCCCAGCATTTGTTTTGTGGAATACAAAGAAAATGTTTTGTTGATATTAGACAAACAAACTGAGAAAAGTAATACTATGGCAATACTAAAAATGACGCATAAGAAGTATTTTATTAGAGGGGTCTCCATGTTTAGCCTTAAGCAAGCAAGTTTGTTTCTATAGAACAATTTATTGAAACATATCCCAGCTTTTGCAGGTAGCAACTTTAACATATCTGTTTTTCACACTGCATGTGCTACAAGTTCCATAAAAAGACAATACTGTTGTGCCTATATGCTGAACAAGAATGTTCAATATGAAATTTAAGAACACAAGGCTAATTCAATATAAATTTATCATTTTAAAAAGAACACTATACACTAATCTACACACACATACACACACATTTATATTTATATATTTTTATTTAAAAAACACCCACCCACACAGACATTCAAACTATCAAAGTTAAACACAACCACACATGTCCCCATTGCCTCTCCTCCATCCTGAAAATGAAATAAACAAAACAACACAAAATTAAATTAAATTTAAAAGTAGCCAGTTTGGATACATGTCAAAAAACAATTCCTAGAACTCTGCCTTGTTGACAGATGTCATTTAAAAATTGAAGAAATGCTTTCTAATAATATTAAAAAGTAGGTCCCATCCATATTATCTGAGTGGCTGTCTGCTGAAATGATCTACCTTGCTCTAATGAGCCCCTATGGATCTTGGGAGATGCAAGCTGTATTGACATGCACACTTAAGCTAATACACCTAGACCAGTGCCTCCAAGCTCTAGCAGCCAGGGATGCTGACAGAATATCTCGCTTCTATCTTCAAAGAAAGGAAGTGATTAGTATGTTATCATTACCATTCAAAACGTGATTTCCCTATTCCCTCCCGGCACAGGTGACACATCTCTGAGATGCGGCCAGACGATGGAGGCAGCTAAAGCCACATCAAAGCTTTCCTTGAATTTTTTTTTAAAGAAATCATTAAAACAATGCATTTAGATCAGCACAGATAGAACCCAATGTGAAGGTCAGGAAAGCTGCAATAACAGTCTATAATAATTAATAGACTCGTCTAATACACAGTGGATAGGTTAAGAGTAAATTGCACACAAAAAATCCATTCTACATTTGGAAGGGGAGGGGGATAGTCCAGGCACAAAGGCAGGGAAGGAGAAGAAAGAAGCACAAACATTTAATGTCATTTTATAAGCTACAGCACAAGTTATGAAATTATAAAAACAGCAATGCAGAGCAATTTTGATACCAAGAAATAATATGCTGTTATACATGTCACTAAACGAGTTTCAAACAGAACATTTGATAATGATAGAAGCTCTATATTATAGGAGATTATAGCTTCAAAATAGGAAAGACTTTGTTCCAAAGTGGGTTGTGAAGTACGTACAAATATACTCAATTGTAGCATTTCAGGATTGATCATCTCAGTTTATGCACAAATATATTTGGTAACAGAAAGTTGGACATTTTTCCAAGACTAAAGATAAAGACTCCAGGGTCTAGAGAGAGGAAAAACAACAAATAACTGTTCCATTAAACACGGCTAGCTATGCTATATAAAAATACTTTTGAAATGTTTTTTTAAAATGACTTTTGGTTTTGCTTGTAAAGATTTTAACATAGATCATGCAAACCACTAAATAACTAACACCAGTATGGGACAGACATTCAGAGCATAACTGACAAGACAGAATTCAGAAACTACCAAACAACTGCCAAAGTTTAGGCTAGCTTTACTGTTAGCAATCAGACATGCTTCTTTTTCAGAGCACAGCACAGAAGAATCTCATTATACAACATTACTGCAGACTTTTGGTTTCAGATCCTTTTCACTCAAGCCCTTCTAGAGCAAGCTTTGCACCACCATTCTCAGTAAGTGGATATGTGCTTTTCTTTTCCGTTTGGGAGATACAACATCCCTTCCACCATTAAAAACAATGGATCTAAAATCAGCACTAGGTGCCTTCAATTTTTTCCTCACCAAATTCACCAAATTCATTTTCCCACTGTCCTTCTGCTTTTTTTATACAAAGGAATGTGAGGGTGATCAGACCGTCTTTAAGCTTCACAAAGAGCTTCTCTATGGAGTTACATTCAGAAGTTTTGCGAAGTGGCAGGCTGTGGCTAGAGATTTAGTCATTCCATGTGGGCTGGATTCAAACTGAGATCTCAGAAACTGAAAGAAAACAGAGCAGTGCAGCCTCCATAGAATTCTGTGTAAGGCATCTGTGTTGGAATAAAGCCTTGTAATGAGAGGAACTGTACATTTTACTAACAAACAGTATAGGGAAAAATCACAATTGCTTTTAAGATTGTACCTCCTTTGGAGAACTGTAATTGGGAAAGCCTTGATGTCTTACTATACAACTAGTTTAGAACCTCATGTGAATCACTGCACTAGCCGTCATTTGAGCTTTAATGTGCATTTTAAACTCACTAAATAAACACCACTCTGTTTACAGCTTATCCTAAAGCTAATATGGCAACTAAAAACTGCACTAGCAAAGCTTCCACTGCACTTCACATTCCACTCTTTGATCTTGACTTCCAATCCTTTTATTAGCCATACATTTCCTATCAGCACCCCCCTCCCCAGTAATCTACAGCAAGGAAATGATAAATGATAGGCCATACAAAATAAGCAAACAGCATGAAAAAATAATCTACTATACAGATATTAGATAAAGCAGAAATCCAGGTCTTCAGGCTGGTTTGTTTTCAGATATTTATTATTATCTGTTGTCAACATTATATATTACCACCTATATTTAATCAGACCCTTATCAATAAGCACAAACTACTGCTGCCAAATAATAGTGGAAATATGTCAGTGATTAAAGCCTAGGAAATTTGCCACATTTGTTTTCAAGAGTGCTTTTCCTGTATCTTTCTACAAATATTCAATATTAAAGATATGTATATGAAAAGGCTTGAAAAAATTTGGCTTGGTATTTAGAATTCATTAAATGAATTCAAGATATGTCTTTGTAAGAAATCATGACACTTGCTTACCATAGTGTGTGAAGTAACAGAACTCTAACCATCCTATTACTAACAGCATGATCCTCTGAATGGGTACTCAGACATTAGCTCTACTCAATTCAATTGGGCTTACTCTCAGGTAAAAATAATTAGGTTTGCAGCTCAAGGTTACTTTGGCATATCGATTAGAGAAGTATTAATCCTTCAGCACTATACCACAGTTCAAATAAAGCCTAAGAACATGCTGAGTGTAACTCAATGGTTTAGGTATCTGGCTGCGGAGTCAGAGAGGGGTTCAATTCCCCACTGTGCCTCCTGGGAGAAGATCCAGCCTGTGTGGCCTTGGGCAAAATGCAGCCCCAGGTCACCCTCAGAAGAAGGGAATACTAAACCACTTCTGTATACTCTCTACCTAGAAAACTCTGGAAAGGGTTGCCCTAAGTCTGAATCAACATGATAGCACATTA